AGAGAGAGAGAGAGAGAGAGAGAGAGAGAGAGAGAGAGAGAGATGGAGAGAGAGATATTCAGGGTTAGGCCCGGCTTACTGGAGAGTAAAAAAGTAAAGGAGGAAAAAAAAAGAGTACTACTGGTGTAAAGCAAGCAAGCTGTTAGTTGTCCCATTGGTTCAAGCTTCCTCCTACACACGTACTGCAATTTGTTAGATAAGAGGAGTATTATTTATATTGTTAATGATTTTAAAAAGGTGGGGTTCTTTCTCCTTTCTTTGAGTCCGAGGTTGTGGTGAATCGAAAGTCAACGAGCGAGAGGTTCCTTGTGGTATGCTTGAAATACATTCTTTGACAAAAACTTTTGATATTCGACACAAAATTACTGTTCTTGGCTTTCACTGCCTAATGACATAACACTCACGTTGACCTAGGTCCTGTCACTAGGCTATGGGGTCTTTTAATATTTAAATAATATGAGTATAATTTAACTAACAGAGGTGAAAGCAAGAAATACCCATCTGTAAAGAGGACAGGAAGAGACGAATGATTTTCCTTAGCTTCAACCAGCATGATGCCCATCATATAAAACTAATATTGAAGAATAATCAAAATGCCTACAAGTCAGATGAGTAAATATTTAATAAATTTTATTATCCGTGTATTGGGCAGTACACATTTGATGAAAACAAAACAGCATACATTATAATCTCATGAAAAAATGTAAGAAAACCATATGAAAACACATATGAAGAATTCCATGAGTTAATGAAAAAAAAGAAATGTATTGTAACGGACAGACTTTCTCTGCTTAATGATATATTTAAAATGATAAAACAATGGTTAAAATGAAGGTATCATTGGCATCCAGTCATAATATCGTCAACATGTTTACTGCTACATCAAAGAAAATGATAAATAAACTAGGATCCTTTGAAATGTAAATTATGCGTTGGACATAATTTTCAACAAATACCCCGTTCATAGCAGCAGAGTAAACAATAACTTTTTTTTGCCCGTATTATGAGAAATCAGCTTTTTAAAAAAAGTTATTGCAAACTTTTGAAACAATCGCCAATAAATAATGGAAATGTAACAAGTTCAATTAAAAATGTACTTACAGTATTTGAAGCATTCTAGATTAAGTAACATTTTATTTCCCTTCATTTTCCTGTCTAGCTCTTTATACTGTCACACATGATGATTGGATTTATGTGAATAAACATACCCAGGAGTAGATGGAGAAGCAAAGCTTAGCATAGAAAATAATATAGTGAGACGGCCAAAATCTCTCGCGAGCTCTTGTAAGAAACAAGGTTGAATAAAAAAGAGAACGAAACAAAACTAAATTTTTACTTCTTTTTTTAAAAAATTGCTTAAAATCACCCAGACAGAGTAATTCTTTATGAGGCCAGCTCATTAGAAACAAAATGAACCAGTTAAGTGAAACATTGTGCCCCCCTCCCCCCCCCAACACAAAAAGTTAAAACCCCACCGGCAAAGAAAATGAGTTATATCAAATGTTCTCCCAGTTGTAAAAAAAACTGATCATTTCATTATCGTGTGCAATGATGCAATGCTGCCTGGGAAAGCTCTGAAATGGGACTGACCCCAGCCATGAATGAATCCCGACAGGAGGAGCTACTATTAACACATAGTACTAACACGAGACAGCTCGGTAAATCCAACGTCAAACTGCCGGCACTAAAAGAGAACTGGTGTATGTCAGAACAAAAGTAAAAGTACCGTACAAAACTAAAGTGTTATTCACTTTTGGTGAATATTTATTGTGATCTAGACAGCTGCACATCCAACACAGTAAAACCTTAACATAATATCTTCTCTCATGAGCGACAGTTCATAAATCCTCCACCTTCCTCACAAATAAGCAATTTTGAGTGTTTTGAGGTCAGGCCTTTACTAAAAGCTCAAGATATTTGTATCTTATGAAACTGAAGTACTTGCATGCAACAAATGGCCTTCTATTTCTGAAGTACCGATCTAGATTTATTTCTTTCCTAAGGGCAACAAAAAAGAAAAAAGCAAAACCCAACAATTTTTTAAACTTGAGAATAGGTAGCAAAGAGACCAACCCCCCCCCCCCCAAAAAAAAAACCCAATAAAAAGGACAAAGAAATGGCATATATATTCTTACTCTGATGTACAGTTTGGTTTGTTCTGTAAAAAAGGATCACACAAAAGCACAAAAAGCTAGCATACTTGATACATACTGTTTAACACAAAACAAAAGACGTAAAACAAGTACATGACAGAACAGGCACACAACAGGATACAGTGTACTTCAGGCCCTTGATAAAGAAGACGTCCATGTTTTTTTACATGGCCTTGATCTTCATCATCTTCATCTTTGGCTGCTTCTTCTTCGACTCCCTGCGGCTCTCGCGCTCCTGAAGACACACAATGTTTAACAATAACAAACAAAATTTAAAAGTCAATAGGTTACAGACATTCAAGAAAATCGTCAACCTGGCAAACCTTTCTGCATAATTTTGACTTTCTTAAACAAGCAGAAGCAGAAAGATATAAAAAATATGTATACATATGATCTCCTTTTTCAATAAAACCTTCAAGCACATCGGCGATCCTTAACAATATTGTCTGAATTCTCCACCAAGCTACTCCTGGCTTCTTCTTACTGCTGTCTTTCAGCCACAACCCTGATCTTAAGATAGACAAGATGTAAAAACCTATCTTCCTCAGAAAAGGGAAAAGGTCACATACAAAAGAACAAGTTGCACTGCAGGTTGAAGAACCAGCAGTCTTGACTACCCCTGAGAACTAGCAAGGGAACGCAAAAAAGAAGAAGAAGAACTTCAGTCTTCTCTTATTTCTAAGAGAAGAAAATCTTTTCTAGGATTCTCACATATCGTCATTGCAGATCACTATCCATGTAGGGAACACAATTTTAAAACTTCGGTCTCAAGACATTTGACGACCAAAGCACAGTCTTAAAAATCAGCTTTCACATTTTAATTTGCATCAATATTTCATGATAACTAAGATACAAATCGTAAAAATCAAGAGGCTAAAACGCACATTAGACTAATGAAAAAGTTTTTTTCCACATTTCCATACACAGATAGCGAAATGCACTGACAATATGCAGCTAAGCATCATCAAGCTTTTATTTCAATAGCAATAACTGACCTCGAGCTTACGAGCGCGGTCGGGGTCCTCCTCAGCCATGAGCTTCTCCTTCTCAGCACGCTTCTTCTCCTCCCGGCGCTGCTGGGCCAGCTCCTGGCGCTGAGAGTGAGCAGCCTTGATGAACAACTCAGCAGCCTTTTGGCGGTTCTTCTCAGCCTTAAAGCGGGCCTGAGAAAAAAACGTTTTTATGCTTTAACAAATGTGATTGGGAAAGCTTTTAAAGAGTTACTTTATTAAGGATTTCAACTGATGACAAATCTAAAGACATCAATGTAGTCCAGCACAGAGGTTAGAAAAGAAGCAAATGAAAGTAGGTCCAATACCTAGAGCAAGGAATGAGATGAAAATATGTGCCTGTGACAACTACTGGTACAGTAAAAAGAAACAGAAGAAGCCACCATGATAGTAAATGATATCATTTCTTTCTTTTTTTTATCAAAGACATCATATTGAGCCACAACTCATAGCCTTATCCACACTCCTTACAAAGTCAGAAATAGACACAGTAGATTAGCAAAGGGAGAGTTAAACATTTATTTACAAGCCTTTCTAAAGACTATTCAAATACACACATGGTAGAGTATCATTTTAGAGTGACAGCACAAAAGTTTATAAACTTCCATTTCATTCGTGGATGTTGGGAGACAACTCAAACTTCTAAGAGAGGGAAAATAAACATTTTAAAAAAGATAATTATTTGATATATTCTGATCTCTCTTCTGGTGACATGGATGACTTTTGCCTAAATAAACAAGATAAACTTGCACTCACTAATGTCCTCCACAACCTACCTCTTTGCTCAGCTGAAGTCTGGCCACTTTGTCCACACAGTAGAAGACCAACTGCATCAGGGGCTTCAGGTTCTCCATGTCCACAGCACGAGTCCTGCCCTTGCCAGGCACTGAGTACAAATAGATCAGAACATGATAGCATTTGTTCAATTTCAAGAGCTTTTGAAGAGCCAAAAAATGTATATATGATAGGTTTCACATACCTAAAGAATCTACATTCTTACAAAAAACTAGTAGAAATTTTCTGGAAAATAAAAAAAGTAGTTTTTTGCCTTACAGTGAGCTGGGCATAAATCTTGTTAACTGACCACCTTATTATTGGTACTTATACTCATAACCTAAGACAATTCTACAGCTCAACAAGAAATACACAATTTTTTTTCAAAAAGCAGCAAAGGGAGAGAAAGAGAGAGAAAAAGAAAAGTAGCAAGCCTCTGTGGCATTTGGGAAATCACAAGTCAAAATCGTACAGCCAGATAACTGGGTACAAATCAAAAGCACCAAAAACATATCTGGTGCAATTCTTTGATAAAACTGGAGTCAAGGCAGAATTATTTCTTGTGGTGTCATGCCTGTAGCTCCAAACAGCATGTTTGATTCATCATGGGTACATATGACCGAGTTAATGGATTTACATTAGGGAGATGCTATTTTTTCCACTTGTATAGGAATATCTAAAAGCAAGCATAAACACACATAATGTTGTCCAATCTTTGTTTTAAAAAAAGTTACCGTCACTTCTAAAACATGGCACTGCGTAAACCTAAAATAACCAATGCTTCAAGTTTCAGCAGCCATTCAACTTTTTAGTACATAGACCATTCTTATTGCATTACAATATTCAAAGTCATACCAGTGAAGCAAAACAGCAAACAGGGTTTCGTCTCCGGCATTTTAGTTGGTTGGGTATCCCTGTGAGATAGACACAAAAATCTTCAATCAGGTTTTCACTCTAATAATATTGCACCAGTAATCTTTTAGACAAGAGTTTTCTTTTGAGCCATATTGTCCACTCTTATAAAAAATATTTTAAAATAACTTTCCCTTGTTTTATTTGGAATGCCTTATTAGCTATAGAAGAATTACTTAATCTAATGGCTTTTTTTTAAGGCAAGTTATAAATTTGTTTATCAAACACTGTCAAATATGAAGAAAAAAATCTTTTCCCGTGATACTCACTCTTGCACTTTGAGACCAGAATATTGATCAGACACATGAATGTACTCAATCACACCTTCATACTTCGTTAACACTTGGCACACCTGAAATAAAAAAAGTAATATTATCTGTACCAGTACTCACATGTACATGACAGTAAATTCAGCGCTCAAAAGAACTGTTTTAAACTTGTCCCTTTTTTTCCAACAAATTCCAGGGTCAAAATAAAAGACAATTTTCAATCAATCTTTACAAGTAAAGTATATTTGTTTGCTCATTCAATACACCCATCATTTAATCTTTTAAAGTATCCAACAACTTTTAAAACACTAACGCAAATTAAATTTTAATAACAGATTATAAAGCGAACAGGAAAACAGCTCATTGCAATGTTCAGAATCTTCTAGGAATTCAGTAATCTTTTCCCAGTCCCCATAGCCATCATATGCACCACATTCAGCTGAAAAAAGTTTATACATCAATACATCCGAACACTGGAGACACTCTGGTCAATACCAATAAACATGAGCACCTTCAAAAACACCACATACCGAGCTAAAAGGCAAAGGGCATTATAATCTAGTAAGAAATTAGACCAAATGCAGAGGATCGCAGCAGCAGGAGGAGAAGAAAGAGAATACTACATGCTCGAAAGAGCTTTCTCTCTCCTCACTTTAACTTCCTGTACAAAGTGTTGATACAATACAAGGATGGTTGGGCACTCTTTTCACGAGAAAAAAACAAACAGAACACACTTAAACAAAGTTTTACCTTTTTATCTAACACAGCAGCAGTTCCTTCCCCAATCTCAGACAGAAGTTGGTATGAGGAAGGTATGTCAAACTTCTCAATGCTCTTTTTCTCAGCAAACTGACTCTAAAAAAAAAACAAAAAAAAAAAACAACATTACATGTACAACAAAATAAAGAAGATGAAAAAGTCCAGCATTTATGTTTTGAAAAACTTAACCTGAAATTAAAAGAAAAAGTTTACTCAGAAAAAGAAATCCATCTGAAGTGTGCGAGCAGTTGGTATGTAAACCAAGAAAAAGAGTTTCTCCGTAACCACACCAATAAACTACATCCAAGAAATGAATGTTTCAATATGATATAAAAAGGTAGGAACACATAGCAAAGTTCTACAGATTTAATCTACTTACCAGATCATTCATATCTTTGTGGAGTTTTGCAGCAGATCGTTTTTGAGCTATGGCAAAAACAAAGTTGTCCATTTTTCCTTCATCAATGTCCACTTTCACAACCTGCAAAAATAATATTAAAAAGTGGCATTGGAATTAACAAAACGAAATAAATTCCTGTGTAAAAATGTACAAATTTTTCACCATAAATTGTGATATGCAAGTGTGGAGCATGGCAAGACTAAATAGATTTTAGCAGGGGCATAGGGTGGGGGGGGACGTGTTATTCTGGTGTAATTTACATTAATCATTAATCCTTCATGCATACCTGCCAACATTGCCTGGGCAAAAATCTGTAGTTGGACGCAAATTTTTGTCCAAAAATCTGTAGTTGACCTAAAAAATCTGTAGTAGGCTATATTACCTCTTGTCGCATACTTAATTTGGGACCCTTATTAATATTTTATTTTGACCCACATCAAATATGCATGATTGTGTTTGCGACTTCAAACAAATGTAGAAAATGATAAAGAAAAAAAAAAGACAAAATATGAAAACTACCAGAGGCATTTACCCTATTAGTAGTTGGTGCAGTTGCTGTCCTATTCATACCTGCACGAACACACACACAAATGAAGCCAAAAAACCACAACCCCCCCAAAACAAAACAAAAAACAGAAGCAAAGAAGAAAAGTTGAAGAAAAGGTGGGCCTTGGATGACTTAGGCCTAGCCTTGGCCTTTTGTCTTTGCAGAGTTTACAAGGAAAGAGTATGACGGATCCCGAGTCCACACAAGGCCTACACCAACACGCGTTTTGCAGAGAGTTTTCTAGATCTAGAGGTAATCAAAAATTTAGAATACTAAAATTTGCTTCCAAGTTCAGTTTTTGTCCCCTGGCCTGGTGTTGCCTTCACCCCCCCTCCCCCAAGTGTACCTTTATAAAAAAAATAATCCTCCCCCCATTCCGGAGTCCTATACTACGCAGCGCTCAGACTCTGAATGAACTTTGGTGACCCCCTACAAGTGCCGGTGCTCACAATGTGATGGAACGCGCAAGTTCATTGACCGGTCACAATGGCGAACCCGACAAGACGCTTGTATAACTATAACTTTCTTTTCTTTTTTTTTTTTCACAAGTGACAGCACAGGACAAATATTGATTTATTTTCAAGGCGACACAGCGTTTGCCATGCACAGCCCTGCATGTTGTTACAATTAGTGTTGCGTTATCAAACCACTACCAGCAAATTTCTGGGTGGTAACGAAAGTGAAAGTATATCTTGATTATCCCGATCAAACGTCGGTATCACACCCGCTTGCCACCATAGCCGCCTGTCTGCGTGAAGAAACATACTCTCGAGGGAGCCGAATGAATCACAATCGCGACCGGCAAAAATGAACTTTCGGGTGTTATCGGATTTGGGTTTCAAATATTTGATAACTTTCTCAAATTCCCGCGGCCTGGCAGTCACCCTGCTGAATCCCGAAGTCGGTGGCTTCATCTCAAAATCGGTGGATCGGTAGTTTGACCCAAAAGTCGGTGATCTACCGATTTTTTCTGTAGGGTTGGCAGGTATGCCTTCATGATTTGAAGAATCCTATTTGAGATTTACTTTTTACTCACACCACATCTACTTAGAAATTCAAGGAGAGATGATTGCATGTCACTGTTGCAAGAGGAATGTTCAACTTAGTCTGACCCTGCAATACAGGATAGGCAGAGAAAATGTGGAATTCCCCATTACTTTGCTAAAAAGATGATATTGATATATCTATCAAATTCTTTAGAACAACTGTAAATATATTATCTGAATTTACTGTACCATATTCTTTTCTCAACAAGCTGTAAGAAAGGACAGTAACAGTATTTACAAAATACGACAAGTAAGCAATTTTTTTTTTCACAATCAAAATGAAAGTTGCAACTGCTGATCTTTATCCACAACAGGAGCGTAAAAAGTATTTTCTTTACCATTGAAGACAATTGATAACAAATTCACTGTTGTGACCTCCTTCAATGTCTATTTGTTTGTTCTAGAGATATTTGTACTGGTGAAAGTTGTCAAAATCTCAAAAGACTCAAAACGACTTGATGTCATTATACAATACACATTCATGTGGTCCTAACTTAACTAAAAATGTACTCACAATCTGGTCTGATGCAGGCTTGAATATCCTGAGTAAAAAGTTGATCAAGTCTTGACGCTTCAAAAGCTTCAACTCAACAAGCATCCCCTCAACACAAGAGCGACCACTGCACCAAAGGGCATACACATTCTCAGATTCCTTCATCAGGACTCCCGACGTTACCTCCTTGGCGACACCATCATCCCCTGAAAAATGAAATGACAACATATGAGTGTACAAGGCCAGACTTTGGTGTTCAAAAACATTGAGCAAAGGAGACAAAAGCAGAAGTAGGAAGATTTGCAATCGAAGAGTGCTGATTTAGTCAACAAACTCTTCGACACCGAGCTGTGGGCTCAGATTACCCATAATAAAAAGATTCTGTTCATAATATGAGTTACGATGCAGTGGAATCAGACGCTCATAAAAACGGACATTGTTCCGCCCGTAGAGCAATTTTAATCTAATTTTTCATTTTGGGCACAACGTCTTTTATGTCTGTTTCAAAACACATCCATGTGTGGATTTCACAGAAAAACTTTTATCAAAGGTACAAAAAATGTTAATTTGGGAACTTCCAAAGACACTACAGATTTGTAAATCACCACGCTTTGGCAGCCATTTTCTAACTAATTTGAACTCTGACACCAAGCAACCCCCACCTCCAATCATGAATATCTCAACACTATTCAAGATAAGTGGTTATTTTTTTAACCAAAAGCAAAAAAAACCCAAAAAAACCCCAATAACTCCACACGCCCATAAATGGACGAGCGCCTGATTCCATTGCATCATGACACACATTCTAATTGCTCTTGCAGTATTAGCAGTGAATTCAGACCTGTACGTGACCATGAAAAGTTGCATGAAAACTTTGGAGTCTGAAGAATGAGCTCTGTAGGAGAAATGTACCCTATTGCTGGTGGGAGTCGTTAATAGAGGAGCCCAGAGGCATTATTCCCCCATCCCCTTCTTTAAAAAAAAAAAGGAGGTATGAAATGGATTTTTTTTAAAATAAGTATTTTTGCCTATTTGTTTCTGGTTTGACTTTCTCTTTCTGTCCCTCTCATAATCATTCCGGTGCTGGTACGTCAATATTCAAGGAAGTTACAAAAGTGAAACTACTTAAATACAACATACACAGATACAGAATACTAATAATGGTAAATCCAATAACAATAGACACAAAAATGTATTTTGTTAACATATATCGAAACTGTGCTTTACTCTGTACACTCCTGTTTTAGCACAAGTTGTTGGGGGGGCGCCTCATTAGGTCCTGATTCTTTACCTTTCCTTGGTTATTTCAGTCTGCTCGTCTTTGTATTTTCCACAGCACCAGGTGACTTTATTCATGTTGATGTTTCCCTCTTCAACTATAACAAGCTCACATTAATGACACCATAACCTGAACCACTAGAATATTCTTAAAACAATGTCACTCTTCAAGACTTTCCTAATGCATGTTGTAAGCGTGAAAGGTACCTGTGTGTTAACATACCTACAATACTGAACTGTGTTTCCAGAAGCTCTCTATGAGCTGTGAGCCATGCTGTTGCGAGCTTACAGTTCTTGTTTTTTCCAGCCAGGAAATTGAGGAAGTACACAGCTAAACCTGCTATCATAAGCATCTCCAGGTAGAAGCTGTCCCAGCTGGTCCTCAAGTGTAAAGGCACCTTACAAAGAGATGAGGTAAAAGAATGTACATTTTATCAATCGTTCTATGGAAGAAATTGTCAAAGTGCGTCTAACATGTTCTATAATATACAACTATAAATACATAACAATATTATATCTCAGCAACACACACACACACACACACACATATACAAGTTGTTAAACAACTTTTTGCAGGCTCTCTCTCCCTCTCTCTGTCACTACTAGGCAGACAATATTACAAATTAAGACGAGACGGCACAGCAATAATCAATGAATGCAATGAATTACAAATGTCAAGCTGTAAATTATGCCAGCAGTCCTCCAACAGAAAGCCATTTCCACAGGTAGAAATGCAACTACAGAAAACCAAAAAGAGTATTGGGAAATATGAAAATGTGTATTTTCAGGGGAAAATGTGAATTCCCCACGGCCGACCAACCAACCAGTAAAATGTCCAGGGTGTCCAACAATATTTCCTGAAAAAAAATTACCAGCTCAAAAAAGGAGCACACACGCGTACAATATACATGTATCCAGTCAACAACAAGTCAGTGTTCAATTTCCTACTGGGGTCTTGTTTTACTTGTTTGTATTTCAGTCTATTATAATATTTTCGTCTCCTTATTATATAAAAAATTAATCATGTTTTGAGCGTTCGGAAGGGCCTAGAACAAGAATTTCGACTATCAAGAACAAGTCTGGGCGTCATGATTCATGTTATGAACTGACAGACTAAAATTACTGCTCAAACTCAGAGAAGAGCAATAACTTGAATGGCTCAAGTAGACCCACGCAGTGTGAGAGTTGTAACAACTGTGGGAGGGCAAGATGCAAAGACACTGAAAATCTGCCAGTCTTGAACAGAAAGCTACAACATACATTGTAGGTATAATATTTACTATCACCCATCCAATGAAACGCTAACACTTTATTTCAATAACACAGACTTGCAAAGTATGACGGATCCTGATTCCGCACACGGCCTGCCCCAACACGCGTTTTGTAGAGGGCTCTAATCAAAATACTGAAATTTACTTCCAAGTTTTTTGTCCCCTGGCCTGGTGTTGCCTTCACCCCCCCTCCCCCCCCCCCCCCCCCCCCCAAGTGTATCTTTTTTAAAAAAATCAATAATCCCCTCCCCTATTCCGTAGTCCTATACCTCCCACCAAAGACGGTCTTTGCTCACATGATGCTGTATTTTTATGATGTGAAGGCGCGCAGGGTCACTGACCGGTCATGATGGCGAGCCAGACAATCTAAAAATCGGATGTCGCTTGTATTTTCTTTTCTTTTTTTTCCCACAAGTGACAGCATAGAGACGAGTCGGAGTATTGATTAAATTTTATTTGCACGGCAACACAGCGTTTATACTGCACAACCTGCATGTCACAAATGTTGCATTATCAGACTACCGCTGGCAAACTTCTGGGTAGTAACGAAAGCGAAAGTAGATCTTGATTTTCCCAATCGAACATCGGTGTCACAGACACTTCCGCCTGCCGCCTGTCTGCCTGAAAGTGAAACGTACTCTCGGACGGGGAAAAGCTGAAAGAATATAATATCACAATCGCGACTGGCAAAATTGAACTTACTGACCTTATCGGACTTGGTTTTCAAATATTTCAGTTCCGCGATACTGAAACTATTTTGACAAAAGATGGGACTTGAGATAATTAGGATTACTCGCCCAAGCTGAATCTCGTATTTTTCGCATTCCAGGATGCGTATTTTTTCATGAAAAGTCGTATTCGCGTATTTTCGGCAAAAAATCTTACTAAAATACGTAAATTCGTACTGGTTGGCATCTCTGCTACAGTGATAAGCATACACATATCATCTCTTTTAACAGTTTGGGAAGGTGCCATCACTACACATAGTGGCCATGCTCTGACAATGAAGAGACAGCCTCAACAAAAACATAGAACCTTTGATCTGCTATTGATATTCTATGAAAAGTCTCCAAGTTTCTAAAAATAATGGCTTTTCTAACATCTCACTCTATACATTTTTCGAGAAAACTAGAATATGTCCTGAGTCTAATAAGCTATCAAAACACATTAAATAGAAAAAGAAAAAGAGCAGCAAGCTAACAATCTTACCAAAAAAAGGATAATGTTGTCCACACAAACATCAAAACAAATTAAACAGAACAGAATTACTCAGACAACTTACTTTAGCCATCTGCAAGTCTGGCAACTTGTCTGGAGTTTTGCTTTTTGGTGAATCTTTCTCTGTGTCGAAGTTTTCAAACTCCTCTTCATCATGCAAATGCTCAAACTCATCATCAGCCTTTCAAAAAGAAAAATGTTGATATCATAACTAATCACCAAAAAACACAATGAACTTTCTTACAGTCACATATGCATAAGGTTATAATATACAGGAAATATATGGGAGAACACACTCTGTAAAAAAATGCTGTTGTCCACTTTAGACTTTGCCGCCTCGTCTCGCCGAGTGGCAATGTTTACCACCCAGTTTCTTTGGATTTGCCCCAAAATAGGATGGCAAAGAGTTAACCCAAAATCTGAGGAACTGCCATATTTTCTTCAACCAGTATAACTGAATTTTTGGTTTAGAGAGGTAGCTCAAATAGAAAAAAAAAATCATGGGATTTTATTTGCTTTCCATCACCACTGTTTTCAGATTGCTTGGTTTAAGAGGACTCCACTGTATAATAATAATAGAGATAATAATAATAGACAACATTATTATAACACAAATTCCAGCTCAAAAGCAAGCTGTGTGCATTTTACAATCTATATCATGACCCCAGCAGACCTGATAGCATTCTGAAACAATGTCAGCTTCCTGAGAAGAATTCAATTCAAGGTGCAAGTTTAAAGGTGCTAAAACATTAACATACTGACAAGATCTCCTGCTGTCTATGGCCGGATACCCATTCTCAACTGATTGAAGAGAGGAGAATAATATAAAGTGCCTTTCCCAAGGACAAAACATCGGGCCTGTCGTTCAAACCCTTGAACCTGCAACCTCACGATTATGAGTCCAGTAGCCTAACCACTAGACTACCAACGCCATAATGTCAAATTGCACAAATATTCATTAAAAATTGTCAGTCTTTGTAAGAAAAATGAAAAGTAACATAAGCCCACAGATATTGTTAAGATAGCTTTTTGTTTCTTTTTGTTTAGGTAAGTCAATAAACATTTTCTTTTTGAATCAATTTTGAATTTTGCGCGGGTGGTGGCCGAAGCCTTCTCTTATCAGATTTGGGCCACCAAGGGATCTTTAACACACGCAAGTTGCACACAGGACATCTGAGATTGTTCACTCTTATCCCAGAAGACTAGGTGATAGATCTTACCAACCCTTATATCAGGGGCGTGGCTGAAAGACAACAGTGAGGGAGCCAAGGAATAGCAGTAGAAAGGCAGCAGAAAGAATCAGGAGTCCAGAGGAGGGGGCAAAGGAGGGGTGGGGTGGATGCAGAAAGTGGAGACGAAAGCAGACAACAGGACATGGTTAGAGAGTACGAAAGGAGGCAAAAGGAAAACATTTTAGAGAAGAAAATTTTCTGTCCCTGTCAGGTTTCAAACTCGGAACCTAGTGAATGAGACTAGAGCACCGTAACCGCTAGACTGCAAGCGCCCCTTACATAGTTATTTTATTTTATTTTACAGTAGAGGGTTCACACCGAAGGGCTAGAATTGAAATGGCCGCTGGATCGGAAGAGTAAAGTAAGTATAGTAGAGGGTTTTACGGCGCTCGCAGCTGCATTTAGATAGTTAAAATAGTGATTTCAATACAAATAGACTGTACAGACATATACTTTTGCAATAATAATCTGGAATCAAAGAAATAATTAGAACAAGAATACAAACTTGAAGGTAAATAAAACTTACTTATATGTTCGTGAAATGCATAACCTTTTTTTTACTTTGTGTAACACACATACAGTGAGGAAAGGACAAGCTCGACTAAAGAGTCAAAGTATTACTTACTAAGGAATCATCATCCTCTTCTTCCTCCTCTTCCTCTTCAAATTCCTCATCCTGGTCATCAGGAGCACTCGTCTGTTTCCTTGCCACTTCTTCTTCACCTTCAGTTTCCTCCGTTACAATTCCATCATCTGAATAGAAGAAAGAGGGAAAGAAAATATATATATATATGTATATATGTTTGGATCACTTGGGCAAGATCTGCAAAATGGTGGCAAGTATTCTGGCAGATTTAAACCAATGCAATGTTTCTGACACAACCCAACCTAAATATTTTAAAGTATACAGTCAAACCTGTGTAAGACGGCCACCCATTGTCAAGGAGAAAAGTGGCAATATAAGACAGGTGGCTGTCTTAGGCAGGACTGATCAAGAGGTCCCAATCGAAAGTAGCCAGTAACCGCATTGTTGTTGTTGTTTTTGTTGTTGTTGGTTTGTATTTTGTTTGTAATTTTTATTTTGTTGCTGATTTTGTGCAAGGGTGACAATAAAACGAAATGTACCAGACAAGGAAGACCTAGTGCCATTTTAAAACAAACACATGGGTCGCTACCACTTGGAGAACGAGCGACGCTTCTTTCACAAGTTCATGTTGACGTCCTTTGTTACTTTGTTACAGACAGGTCAACAGTGACCACTCATCTCACTTAGGATTTGTACATATGAGTTCTGAGCAGGGCTTATGGGTTATAAGGGATCACACGCTTTTTACCGCTTACCTCACCAGCAGCTGAAAATTGGTACCTATTGGTCAACAGTGGGAGGGGCCTACGCAACATGATCGGTTGGAGGGACAACCTAACAACAATGACAAGTGATTGAATTATGAAGGCTCGCCCACAACACCAGGGGCCAATGCACAATTTATGACAAAACGTAATGGGAGTCACTTAGGTGGCCGTCTAAGACATGTGTTATTGCTTAGTGTGATAGGGGTTGTGTGTTAAAATATGGTGGCCGCGGCCACATTGGACAGGTGCCCGTTTTACACAGTTAAATTATAGAAAAAACGCAAGGGGGGAAATGGAAAGTGGGAGTTTGTACAGGCGGTCCTCTTATAGAGGTGGCCGTCAGGGCAGGTTTGACTGTACCTGTTTTTATTCTGACTATTTGTCATGCAAAACGTGAATAAATCAATTTAAAAAAACATTTGGCGCATTTTCAAAAAGTAAGTGAATTCTGATGGCCTTACTTTTTCAGATATAAATTTAAAATATATTTTAAAAACCCATGCGCTTGTGGTAGAGTAGCAAGGAATAAAGGGAAAATATGAACAGCAGGATCAACAATGGTACTATAAATATAGACAGAATAGGAATTACCAAGAAATCTCCCAAAGCAGGAAAACAGCACACGTCTTTGTAAAAGTTTAATTACTTTTGACCCTACATTTTCCTTACACTAGCAATGATGTGTATGTAGAATTTAGTCTCACCATTTTTGGCAGAGAATGCAAAACTTCAGCAGCAGAATGCACTCTTTCTCTCTGTTCAAAAGATACATCATATCACATGAATTTTGACAAGATTTTTCACTACAAAAACAACCTTCCTACTGATTTTCATGTTCATAGATCAGAAAAGTAAAACTTGCTATTCATTCAAACATTGCAAAAACATTTCGCAATTTAAGCAAACTGCATAAAGAACTACCACTTATTAAAAATATTGCAAATGCAGAAGACAGCTGTACACATCAATTACCTTCTTCATCTTCAAATTCTTCGAACTCAGCAAAGTCATTGTCCTCTACAACAGCGTCATGTTTTTTACTCCCAACGATAGAAAAAGATAATATGCACGCCAAGGCAAGGAGAAGCAGCCAAACAGCCTTCATGACGGCTGTTATCTGAAACAATAAAAGACCAATAAATAAAAATTTAGTATTTGACCCATACAAATTACCACAAAATGAATACAACAAAACAGAGACACATGTCTGCAGTCACCTCACCTGTCATAACTTATCCTATAGACCTCCCCCCCCTCCCCCCATTCTGTTGATGAGAACAGAAGCCATTCTTCAATGAGTATAACATACCTTTTTGTTCGACTGTCAAGCTTTTCAGCCAATGCGATTAACATTATGACAGTATCTTTTTAAGGTGCCCATATTGGGCCACCACAAGAAGAAAACAATCTTAAAATGTGACCCTGGAATCTAACATTTTCTAAAATTGTACCCAGGATGCAACTTAATCCAAAGTTTAAAACTGCCAAACGAGAAAAGTAAAGCCAAAAGAGACCTGTCAGTCACAATGAAATATATGTAGAGCCTATTATATACATCACTCCTCACATTTCATGTAGTGAGGTGCAACATGGTAACCTAGGGTCAGGTCAAAACAACACTATCAATGTATGTGTTGTTGATCATGATGTCGATCTGAACAGAAAAATCTATTACAAAGAAATACACACCTAAAAATCGACTTCAAACAGTGGACACACTAACACAGATGGTTGCCCAGAAGGGAAATCAGATTCAAAATCATTTTTGCTCATAAATTCAGAGTTCAGAGAAATCAGTGTTCAGTTTAATAAATAGCTCCTCTGAATGCACCAAATACAATGATAGCTTTAGGCTAGATGTGGTCCTTAAGCCAACAAGTAAAGACAAGACCTGCCTGCAGGTACAGGTGTGCTTAGATTTCAGCTTGCTTGAGCGACATGCTCCTGTGTAATCATGAAATATTCAGTGATAAAACACTGATACACGTAATAGAACCAAGCATGTTTTTTAAGATGTCAATGTTATAAACAGGCCAAGGACAAGCGTTATTGACTCATCGTCCAATGTTTTATTTATAATTTTATCGAGTCAATTGTCTACTGTTTCAAACCAACAGGGCTCATGAATAATAATGACTAAACAAAGGTTTTATTTGGTTTTCGCTCCTGGGTAAACGGCTACATACTTGTCTCAAGTTATCAATATTATTTCTACTTTGCAGATTTATCTTCTTTTTTTTCAGTGAACATATCTTTTTCTTGTAATATACAAAGCATGACTCACTAGTTTTGGCAGCAACGGACAATTCCTGAACAACACTACCGAAAAAGTGAGTGAAGGGTGAAGAGACAAATATATAATGAAAGATAAAAATGAAGACGCCAGATGGAACGGGGCCCTTCCTCTGAAAACTAAAAATGTTGATAGGTCCAAAACAAAACCGTAACAGAAGAGAGACTTAGGGGAAAGATAACACTCTCTAACGCTATTCAAAGATATCCTTAGTACTAAATTTTGTCCACGAGAAAGGGAATAAGCTTGCGTTCACTCAAATTTGAGGTACTGCATAGAAGTAATTTTCAGTTTTGCCTCTCAAAAAGCACCAGCAATAAGAGAAATACAAAAGTTTTGCTGATTCAAAGATTAAACCAAGACTAGAATGGGGAAGGGGAAGGAATGAATTTATTGCCTTGGGAAATATGCAAAACATAACAATGTGAGTAGCAAAAAATGGAAGTTGCACCATTTCATTCTTCCTTTAACATCTTGCCATTTTAACTCAAAGGATCAATAATTCCCAGTATGAGAATGAAGAGGTTCCATTACAACTCTCGATATTAGAAAGGCACCAAATTCACTGACTCTGGAGATGACCAACCCAAATGCCATCCTTGCTGCTCTGGTAATGGCATGACAATCTTAAATCTCGCATCTCATTAAGACCATTTTTTAAAAACAAACAATTGATGATTGTCTCATTTGTTTCCACCCATAGCCCTACCCATCAACGTAATAAACTTATTAGCACAATTGACGAATGCCACCCCTTCCTTGCATAATGATTCAGGAAACTTTTTTCTTGACTGCCCTTCGATCATGAATGAGTAGTAAATTTTCACAACTCTGGCCACCTTAGAAAGCTTTGGTGCTGGTGCACCACTTGATCACTTTGAAGACAAGCAGCAGTGACATTTCATCCCGTACCAATCTGACCATCTGCACTCATCAGGACAAATTGAAATGGGTGGGGTCTGGGCATGGGAGGGTAACACTACTAACAGTTAACAGCTATCTACCCTTGCTGTAAAAAAAACACATATCCCTTCCTCACCAGTGAAACCAAAGTTGGGAGTTTTGTTTCAATTCAGGGCCGAGCGGGTAAAGCATTTTTTGCCTTTGACAGGTCAAAACTAGGGCTGGAGTCTGCTCAATTAATCGAAGGCTTGCGAGCGACGGACGGCTCGTGCCAGAGGCTTGCGAGCGGGCTTGAGTCTTGCCCCCTACCGGAGTTGCTACTCGTGGACGGCGGACGGGCTTACTGATTTGTGTCGTGACGTCACAAACTCTTGTTTACTGAGCGCGCGATACTTCTGCCCGCGTGCCGCACGCTGACAAGCCCTAAAGAACCCTCACACTTCCAGCAATGGCGCTGTTTGGGGAGGGGAGGGGGTGGTATGGCTGGGAAAGCGAGAGGTGTTCGCCACCCGTCACTTTCCGTAGAACCCGCCTCTCCCCTTACGCCTCCTGGTGTGACAGGGTTTTATTTGTCTTGTTTTTTGGGGGGTTTTTTGGTTCAGTTTTTTGTGGATTAAAAAAAAAATTTTTGGTGGGGGGAAGGATAATGTTTTGCTTTATTGATTTTCTGGGCGTGATTCGACATCATAATTAATATTTGTATGATAGAACATGCACAATACATACATAATATCAGTTACAGTGCAGCAAGATGTTTTTTTTTTAAGTTATAGGCCTACAATGTAATTAACAATGTGATATAATTTAGCTTAACAATGGTCTTCTGATAGGGAAGCAGTCAAATCAAAAGTTTTTTACATTGTTCAGAAACAAAATCACGATTGTCATCCACTCTCCAATGCTTTCTCTTCAACTTCAACTTGTTCTAAGTGTCGGGGTGGGAGTGGAAGTGTAGTTAAGGCGAGTGATTAAATAATTAAAATTACAAGCCACGGGATGCTAATAATACTGATTTATTTTGTCAGTTAAAAATTGTTTGTAAGTGTTCACACCTTTATTCTGCGTCCTAAATAGTTTAGCATACTGCGACCCCAGTGCTTTCTTGTCGTATCTCCATTTTTAGTACCAGTGAAAACAGCTCATAACAAAAGGTGAGCCTACGAAGATGTCACATTTTCACTGTTAAAGCACCGAGGTCGCGAACGGTCTGCACTAGGCTATTACAGCCCTCTTCGCCTTGCACCAAAACCAGCGCTGCCTCTCGCTTCCTCCACATCCAGAGTTCAGAGTTCACGCCGCAAGCGGGGTGGATTACCGGTAGATCTTGCGTCTCGGTGCAGATGAGCGGTGTTTGCCTGACGAGCGGTGTTGTTTTGCCAGGGCGGTAGTTGGACTCAAAGCAGATTTATTGGCACGAGAGCAAGCCCTTAGCACAAAGCAATACGAGACGCAAAGCAGGTCTTGGGACCAAGTGTTTTGCTCTGCTGCGATTTGAGTCTTGTCTGCCGTCCGCTGCTCGTATGCCTTCGAATAATCGAACAGACTAGTTTGTGGCGCAGTGACACTGTGCGCGGGGTCTCTCTCTCTCCCCCCCTTTCTCTCTTTTTCTGACGTTAGGGGTTTCGCGGATTGCTAGCAGGGAGGGGAAGGAAGAGGGGGTCAGACACGAGTGGCTTCGCGGATTGCAATTTGGTGTGGGTACTTGAAGCTTAGGCTAGACTCAATGTATCATGCTGGTGATTTGATTTGATGATTTGACCTAGTGATTTGAGGCTTGTGACTTGAACTAGGGTCTTGCGAACGTGTTTGCTACCGGGGTACAGCCCTAGTCAAAACCTTTCGAAGGGAAAGAAGTTCTCACTCCAATTCGGGGTAGAATCTACTAATATGACAATGAAGGCCGAAGGCAGGTTCCATTCTCTAGTTTAGTGTACTTATAAGAAGTTCGGCGCTTTTTTTGTAAAACTAGTTCCCACCCCCCTTATATTTGGGTCTAGATCTAGATCTATGTTAAAAGCGCGGCAAGCGAGAGATATCATACCTAACAACTGCAAAACACCAAATTACCTGTACCTCTCCCTCCCCGCCCCACTATAATTTTATTAGGTATTTTTTTTACTTTCCTTCCCGTCTCACACTTAGCTACCAGTTGTCCATTTTCTACTAAATATTGACGCACTGAACACGAATCAACTTTATTTCCATCGCAAATTAATAGTTTTTGAAATATCTGATTGTTCTTAATAGAGATAGATGTACTTTGGACCAATCGGGGGGGGGGTTCCAGGGAGGCCTGCCCCTCTGGGGTAAAAAAAAATCTGGGGGGGTTCCAGGTGGGCATGCCCCCCTGCTTTAAACCATAAATTGATAATTTACAGATAGATTTGAAATTTTCTGGAAAATAATTGATTTGCGACAGTTTTAGTGGCTTTAAGTGTGATCTGCAGGAAACAATACTGCAGTTTGACCCCCGAAGCAGTGCATCTGTGAGCGGGAGAGAAAGTAAAAATTTACCTTTTATTACGTCAGGGGGGCAAGCCCCCTAAAACCCCCCTACTCTTGGGGCCAAAACTGGCGAATAATAATTAGGGGGGGTGGGAACTACCGAAAAAGCGCCAGAAATTTATCAATTGGGGGGAGCGGAAAGATTCCTTCATAAAGGGTTTAAGTCATTGAACGTTCAACTGTGGGCACTCCTGTACAATTGCTGTTCAGTGGATACTTGTTTTGAGCCCACCAACGATTACTTCTGGTTCTAAACAATTACTTTTTGATGCGCGTGCCGATAGGCCTATGCAGAGATAGCCAATCAAACCTAATTGCAAAACATCAAATTATGGTCAAATTCAGGGAGGCATGCCCCCCTGAAACCCCCCATGTTTTTGTAGGGTGGCCAAGCCCCCCTGAAACCCCCCTTGCCTTGTTAATTACAAGTGAAATTTTACTGCTCATTTTCTAGGCTAGTTCTACTGATAAAACATTGATACCGAATATTCAAATCAGTATCGATATCCAGTAGTCTTTGCTTGTGTGATTTAGAGCTAGATCTAGATCTAACGGGACCGCAATTGTACAGGAGAGCCAGATCTACTGACAAAATATCGATTCACAATATTTAAATCTGTATTGATATCCAGTAATCTTTGCTACATACGACTAAACGTAGAATGACGCAAACTATTTTTAGGTCATCTTGTGTGATGTCAGATCGGGATATACCCCTCCTATCACGTGACTACATGATCTAAACATAGCCAACCGCATGGCATCAAAGATCGTGTATACCAACCATGGCACGACGTTTGGTGCAATGTTTTTCCAGGAGACGTACCGGTAATGTGATATGATGCAATGCTCTGATGATGCTGCTGCTTATCTCTTCGGCCCGGGGAGGGGGGTAATCTTCGGGTGTCTTTACGGAATTTGAGCACGCTTTATTGTCTTTGTGTTATCGTGTTTCAATTTCAAGCATCAGCGTTCTTACGGTTCTGAGCATCAACGATCAGCCATCTTCCATCACCAGAGCATGGCTGACGTGCTGCAGTTAGTGTGAAATTTTAAAGTGGACTGCAACTGTACAGGAGTGCCCAACTGGGAAGGACTTCCGTAACGAGCGACCACCCCATCAAACACAATAAAGAAGAGGCCTAGACCTAACCGTAACCCTACCCCTACCCCAAACCCTACCCTTACCCCTACCCCAAGCCCTCAATTTTGCTCTGTCTCATAATAATAATAGTGGTCGCTCGTTACGGAAGTCCTCCCTCCAACAACTGTGTAATGTAGGTCCTAGTATGTAGGTTACTCTTTTCTCAGTCTCAATCTAAAGACATCTACTTCTACAGTGTACAGTTCAGTAGTTCAAGTCAGTTATATAGGGACTCTCTCATTCAGTGACAGTGACAGTAAATGGTTTGCTAGTTTGCATTGTCACTGTCATGGAGCAGCTTTGTGACTTTACTTGTCTTATGATTTATGACATGTGATGTTCGTCATTGGTAGATCTAGATCTAGATCTAGATCTATATAAGATGAAAGAACCCTACAACAATAATAAGGTGACTACGAGATATGTTTATATTTGATCATAACCATATTAAACTCTAGATCTAGATCTACTTCGATCGAAAAATATCAAAACATTACCAGTTAGATCTATAAAAAGATCTTCGCCCAGTTGACGCTGTGAAAGTCGCGTACACCGCTTTGAGTAAACTGCTGTGTATATCTGGCTTGCAGTCAGCAGTTTACCAAAAGTAGTCAATTCTCACGAGGTTTTCTTTTTTTTTTTTTTCGTGTGTTAGGAGAAAATTGTACTGGCCAGCAGAATATTGGGAAGGAAAAAAATAATGCTAGAAAAAGAAAACTTAACGGAGCTTCGAAATGCAATATGTGGAAAAACAGCCAATATCAACGCACAAGAGCCATTCAGACTTTTGAATAAGAATCTGATAATTAAGTGACCCGCTTCTCATGTGTCCTCGGTAGTATAGTGGTAAGTATCCCCGCCTGTCACGCGGGAGACCGGGGTTCGATTCCCCGCCGGGGAGGATTTTTTTTTT